GTCTTATACAGCCTGTCCTCCCTGAAGTTCCCCTCCATCCCCCTGGTGCAGCAGTTTATCTCTCCTGCCCCTGGTCTGTGTGGATCCCTCCTGTATTTCACTACAGAAGTGGAATAATTTATTAGTATCATAAAACTGCCCCTGCAGCTGTGATTTCCTCCCTGGAGAGTTTCTGGCACAGTGACAGGGACGTGCAAAATACGCTGCTATTCACCTTTGAGAGTCTCCTTTTCTGTTTCTTTTTTTTTATCTCGGGGTATAAGAAAGTCCTCAAAAGAATAAGCTTTTCTTCTTTTCCAACAGCTCCCTCTGTAGGCAGTGCAAAGCGCCAATGTCACACATGTTGAGCAATTTTGATCTCAACACAACACCACCCACAACAGTGACTGAATTAGCATAACAAAAGGAAACTTTGTGCCCCGTAGCAGAGGCACACAGTGCTTCTCATGAAATGTCACTGCAAACTGCATGGCAATGGTTTCTGAGGTATATAGAGAGACGCTGCAATCTATATGTTTGAATGTTAATTTATGCAAATCCTGGGTATATTCCCCTGATAAATGAAGCAGTCAATCAGAAGATGGCTGCCCTTGTTTCTCAAGCACATTGCAGGTTCTCATGTGTTTAATGCTTCTGTGCCTGCGTATGCAGGGTAAGTGGACAGAGCCTGTTTGAGACTTTGTTATTGCAGCTTTTCTTCCAGTGTTTAATACAGTGTCTTAACTCACTGTAATACACTGAGTCAATTTCCCGCAGATCTGCACTGTGTCCACTTAAGACAGTCGGCATCAGAAAACCAGCACAGTCCCTGCGGTTGTCCTGCCAGGTGTCTGGATACTCCCTGACTGATGACAGCTATGCTACACAGACAACAGCCTCCTGGGGAAGGTATGGAGTGGCTGGGATGCTACTATATCTCTTGCAAAGGCTCCACCCCCTTGATTTCATATAGATAAGGCCAATTACAGTAAATAGCTAGATGGGTTGAAATATCTGACTCTTTAATTAGGTGCGATTAAAGCTGGTGGTAATGAACACCAGACCTGGAGGAGTATGGAGGTCCTGAGGTCTAGTGTTTGGCAAGTTATTGCTCCATGTCAATCAAGGGGTGCCTGCTCTCATAATTCCACACACTTGCACATATGAAATACAGCTACTTCAGACCATGAGATCTCAAATGGTCTGAAACGTGAGCCTCTGGTGCTGAAGGTTTCCTCTTGATTCTTTGTTCTTTGTCTTTCAAACCCTATGTAAGTATAAGTTCTCACAAAGAAACTTGGCAAAGCTGGACCTTGAGATGTGGTGGCAGTGGAATTATTTAATGACCTGTTTTCGGGGACTATGTGTCTGTTCATCCCTGAAAGGCGTGGTCCACAGCGTTCAGGTGACTCAGTCGGACCCTCATGTCGTGATCTTGAATAAATCTTGAAAGGCGAGGTCACGAAACTGTCCTGTATGTGGTCGGGATACACAATAACTTGAGAGTGGAAACACAACACACTGGATCCCCCATTCCCAGGAAAAGGACTAGATTGTCTGGAATGGAAGGTGCCATAATTCAATCAGTTACACAGAGTCTGGCCAGGGCAGGTTCAAACTCTCTAAGATGGACTCCTCCAACACCGTATTGTCACGGGAGCCAGTTCTGACTCCCGCGAAGTGCGTTGTTTAAAGAACCTATGAGTGACGGTATAATCCGGAAGAGTCTGGAGAAGGACATCAGAGGAAGATACAGCAGGGTCAGGACGGGGGGGAGGCAACCAAGTCCAAAAAGGGGTTATCAGGTGCAATCCCTTGTCCAAAGGCCGGGAGATCCATCCAGGATGAAGACAGTTAAAATCCCGGGGAAAGGGAACCAAGACTGTGAACACAGAACTAAAACCTTAAAGGGACCAGGCACTCCGAGCCCCGGACCCAGATTGTCATGACACTGGGGAATAAGACCTACCCTTGGGCTACTCGCGAGCCTGGGGAATAGGCAAGCCTTGTGGCGTCCATATTCCAATGCTGAGCCAGAGAAAAAAAAAGATTAAGATCTCTTTCTGCATTTTGGAGCAGATAGGTGTTGGAATTCCACATGCAAACTAGAAACCCCCCCAACTAAGGAAACCTAAAACCGACCATTAAAAGTGGTCAAAGTCTGGGAACTGTCCGAACACAGTGACCTCCCCCCATTACCATGGTAACGAATTACGTCAGAAATATTTTAAATTTACTATATAAACTGGAAGTTTTGTACCTATATTCCGAACAATACTTTGGTCTTATTGTTCCTCGCATGCAATAAACTCAGTTGTTTAAACTTCATCTCGGGATCCAGAACTTATTTGCCTGTGACAACAACTAGAATTCTACAGATTGCTTGAATATATAATGAAATGCCAACTCATTACTGGAAAGTTTTATATCTATCCATTCATCCTCTTGTCTAGGTGAGGGTTGTGTTGGATTGAAGATCAATTTCTGTGAATTATACTTGAATACCATGTAAGCATAATATGCATTTTTTACATGAAATCAGATGTCAATAAATGTGTGATTTTGTTGTGTTACTACTGATAAACAAATATATTCCTATCACATTTTCCCTAAGCCACATGCATTGTGAACCGTCACACCATAATAATGTTTTTATTTTATAAATGCACTAAAAATAGTTCTAAAATGTTGTAACTTCAGGATCTCTGTTTCTTATTTCTAGTTAATTTGTTCCACTTGTTTTCTGTGGTATGAAAATGTTGGGTCTATTGTGTTCCAACAGCTCCCTCTTTTGACAGCCTATAATGTCTGCACAGCACCATGAACATCACCTGACTGAAGTCAGAGGCAAACTTCAGCACAGCGATGGAGCCCAAAGGAGTTTGAAGTGATACTCTGCTCTAATACACTGTTATTATCACTGTCTTATTGTACTGTGAATGCATAATGAAAGTACACAACATTGACTTTTAAGAGCTTTTAAGTCCCATTTCAATGCAAACTACACAGGGGCACTTTAAGACATATATATATACTGCAGTGTTGAACTCTTCCTATTTGAATATTGATAACTTATGTAAATCACATATACACTCTCTACTGATAAATACAGCTGCCACTGTAACAGAAGTTACTCAGTCCTGATCACTCAACCTCAAAAATAATGCAGGTTTCACATGTTTAATGCCTCTGGTCCTGAGTGTCCAGGGAAACAAGCTACTCTTGACTTATATTATTCTTTTCATTCTCATCGTCTAATACTGTGCCTGAGAGTTACAGTGAGGAAGTGCAATTCACTGACAGTACAAAAACACTCAGAGAGAGAGAGCCCATATTAAATTAAAGATGAGTCCAATACAGAAACAAATATTGTGATGTGCCTAGGGGTGTGGTTTTAGATGGGCTTTAAATTCACAGGCTTATGAATGGACTTTTGAAACCCTGGAGAGAAATAAGGGAAAGCACACTGAGAAACCAAAACTGATAGAGAACAGACAGAAAAGATTGGTACTATTTGAAAGAAAGAGGACCAGACAAAATGGGAGGTTAAAGTAGATTTATAGAGGATTTTTTCCTTTTTTGTTCTACACATGAAAATATGGTGAAGTATTTTCTTTTGGAATATAGCCCATCCATGAGCTAAATTTAAAACACTGTTTTGGGGAGAGTTTTATCTTGAGACCAGCTTAATTCCCATTTGATAACCACAATTCCAGCAGTATCAACATATTTAGTAATAAAATCAACAACACCTATCTGCTCCAAAATGCAGAAAGAGATCTTAATCTTTTCTTTTCTCTGTGTTTGATTATTTGCTCATCCCTCTCACCCCCCTGACAGAGTCCCCTGACTGGGTTTATGGTTGGTTTTGTGGATTTGCTGGAAACATAATAAAAATATACTGAAGATAAAAAATAAAGCAATTAAAAATGTTTTTTGTAGTGTTTATGAAGGTGAATCTTATTCTTTTACTTTCCCAAAATCGGTCACATAGTGCTGTTTGGTTGTAAGAATGGTCTTTAGAATCTTGTTAAAAGCCCTGTTAGACCCCAGGTGTCGTGTGCCACATAAAATATCAAGATTCAGTAGGTTTTATTAACTGGAAATCTGCACATTTCTTAACTATATAAAGGTATCTAACTCATTACTATAAGGATGCTGTAAAGAGTACAAATTATAATGGAAACCTATCCATCACCATCTGTCTTATCTTGTTTGGGAAACATGGTAGATTGAATTTATATTATGCTGGAATACCAGATAAATAAGATAAACATTTTTTTCATTTGCATGTTTTTCATTTTGTCTTAACTTATATTATCTAGAAAATAATATTGCTTTTATTTTTTTAATATAAATGTGAAAACAGTGTACATGATATAAGGCCTTTTTTCTCACAAAAAATCTATTTCAGTGCCTGAAACAAATTGATCAAACCAGATTGCCACAGAGTACCTTCTATCAAAACTGGAAATTTGTAAAGGATTCTGTCTGGATCAGGTTTACTATTTCAAAGACACAAAGAAAGATTCATATAGAATATTGACAGCTTTTAGGTTTGACCGCACTGCAGTGTAGAGTGTACCCTACCACATTGCCTTTGAGATATGGCTATATAACAGTAGAAAGCCATGACAGTCAAATTAAACACTCTCTGAATTGATGCAAAACACTTGAAAGGTACATACATTTTATTCAGCTGCTTTCTCCATGCAATAATATTGAAATTACAAGAAACCCAAAACCTCACACAAATATATAGTATGCATTTCTATGTCTTGGTTAATGCCATCCTGGAATGTGTCTGTTTCCCAAAACACTTACCAGTCCATTTTCTAACCACTTTTTCCAATTCAGGGAAGCTGGAACTCCCTGAGAAAACCCAGGGGAGAACATAAGAATTCTCTGGGACAGCACCCCAGGTCCAGAATAGAACCTAGGGCCTTAGCTCTGCAAGACAGAAGTGTTAACTGTCACACATGCAAATCTGACAGACCTGTGTTTCCTAATTAAAGCCAGCAGGAGCTGCTGAGCTGTAGAAGCCCCAGGCGCTGCCCCTGTCACTGTGTGAAGAACAGACTGCGCTCTGCTGCTGGAATCATGACAGCTCCTCTGGCCCTGGGTCTCCTGCTCTCTCTGGCTGCCTTGTCTTGTACGTTATATCGAGTGTAACTCTGCTTTATTGAACAACTGAACAGCAGTAGTACCTTAGAGAAAACACAGGCAACGACGATTTTGTGAAAATGGAAATCCCCAAAAAATGAAATAAAAAAAATGAAAATTTGAACAGTAGTGTTATATTTTCTTTTAAATCGAATACCTTTTATTGGTATTTCTTTTTGATTCGGTATGTTTTGTACAACTGTCTCTGCATTTGTTGAACTGCTCGCATTCACATTAATTCCCTTGTTGTCTTGCAGGTGTCCAGTCCGATGTTGTGCTGACCCAGTCTGAGTCAGCGGTGGTCACACCCGGAGGGTCTCACAGATTGAAATGCACAGTTACTGGGTTTAATCTTGCCAGCTATAGCATGTTCTGGATTCGCCGGGCTCCTGGGAAAGGGCTGGAGTGGATAGTTTACTTTTACTCCAGTTCTGACAACAGCTACGCCCCGGCTGTACAAGGAAGATTCACGGCCTCGAAGGACAGCAGCAGTTTGTATCTGGACATGAGCAGTCTGAGAGCTGAAGACACTGCAGTCTATTACTGTGCGAGAAACACACTGTGCAGCAGGTGGCCTGTAGGTTGAGACAAAATCTAGCAGAGCAGACAGAGTGTGGCTTAGTGTGGCACTGGACTGATGATAAGTACTCACTGGTGTAAATTCACAATGGGCAATATATATATAATATATATATATGCACAATTAAATTTGTATGTAGTCAGATTGTTACATTGTTGAATTTCTCCTGCATTAAAAATAAGACAAAAATTTGAACAATACATTTTCCTCATTAGCATATTTCTTTCACACTGTGAAATGGCAGGACAAAAAAATAAAAATATAAGATGATTTTCAGAAATTGTCTACTTATATTTTCCCACTTTTTTTACATAATAAATACAGATTTCTTCATAATTTTGTTGTAACAAATTATGCATCCATGTTGTATTATTCATACTGTACGTTAACCTAAAAAAATAAGAGAAGTTTTAGGATCTTTTAAAACGTTTTTGAGCATTTCTCAATTTCTTGTAGCTATCACTTTTAACAGTAGGATACAACAAGTTCAGTTAGTAGACGGTTTATTCATCATGGAAGTTTCAGGAAAATAAATTATATTGACCTATGAATTACACTGCCAAGTGATATATTTAAATTTTGATTTAATGAAATGCAGACATCTAGTTTGTTTTGTTTTTTCAGTGTCATTTGTTCCCTATACTGATTTAACGGCTAGTAATCTGTTCATACTGTCTAAAACAGACCAAAAGGTCATCTCTGGCAACAGCTTGTTCCTTTTTCACACACACACAAATACCTGTGATCTGTACTAAGATCATTCTGTCAATTTGCTTATCTTAGTTCATTCCTAATTCCGCTAAGCATAGAAAATGTGTCTTTTCCTCCAGTTCTGCAGGTCCGAAAAAATCAGGATGGTCTGAGATGTGAAGTCACCGGGTATGATGTGAGCACCTGTCAGCTGAGTTGTTCCTGTCCGGGACAAAGACTGGAATTTCTGGCTCAACACAGGATCATCCGCCTTCCGACAGAGGGCTCACTTTTCTGCTTGTCTTCTTATTCTCTAATTCCCTTATTCTTTCTCACTTCTATCATGTCAGCTATTTCTCAAATGGTCTCTGTAATCGACTTACAGTATATGCTCTAGCCAGAGCGCACAGTTGATTCCCTTGATGAAAGATACAGCTGTTCCAAGCAACAACCTTGGTACTACCAGGTTTGGCCCATTCAGCCATCTTGGTAGGGGGCAAGGATATCTCTAATACACTGGACTTGCCGGTTACTGATTTAGCGTGCATCGATAACTTCTCATCTGGTGACATCACAAAGGAAGACTGACTACTTTGAATGAAAGATTTAACTTACTAATGAGAACTGTGCAGGCCGAGACACTGCTGAGAATTGCTGTGCTAAACAATAGTGAGGAAACAAACAAACTCACAAAAATGACTTAATCCTGTCTACACACAAATTGTTCAAATGTTACATTGCTCCTTCGTAAGAGCTGCGGAAACACATATACAGACTATTAGCTTCCAGTGTGCAAGCAGCTGATCTTAGATTCAACTCAAAAGCACTGAAAAGTTCTTGAGGCATTCCTTCCCAGATCAAATTGTCGTGTGGGATTTATAATAATACATTTGTCTCTCACATTATTAAAAGCACTTTGACCTAGAAAATACCTGAACCAAACTGACAGGTTGAGCCCAGAGAATCAATAAAATTCTTCTTGACCTATTACTTGAGTCTGCGTCCAGTTCGTCCCCACAGGAGGAGGACCATACTATCTGAAAACTATATATATACTTTTGGATGTTTTGGAACATCTGCAATTAATAAATGTCTAAACTTTTATATATTTTAAAAAAAATCCAGATGCATATTAACACCACAACTATTTTTTTTAATTTAGTTTCCGGTTTCAATTGACAGTTTCAGGTTTCAATTGCTGTGTCCTCAATACAGATGGGGCCTGAGTCCTTCTGGGTCTCCTGAAGTCCACAATGAGTTATTCTCTCTTGCTGACATTCAGGACCAGATTGTTATCAAGACACCATCTTGTAAGACGCTCCACCTGGCTCCTGTATGAGGACTCATCGGTGTTGTTGATCAGCCCAGTCATTGTGCTGTCATCTGCAAACTTAATAATGTGTTTGCCGCTGTAAGTGGCTGTGAGAGACGACTTCCGGATGTGTGCTGTCAGATTTGCTGATGACGCTGTACAACTCGCTGAGTGCCGCTCCAGCATCAGCATGCATGCGGGTCAACGGTCATAACAGCCGCAAATTTCCTCAGTCGGGAAAAAGGAAGATATTTAATAGTGAGGTATTCCAGATTAGATGAGCAAGATCTGTGGAGAATTTCTACGTCTGTGCACAAAAGGTTATGAACCGTGAAACACACTCCACCTCCTTTCTCCTTGCAGGTGGAAGTCACTGTGCGGTCCATTCTATAACGCGAAAATCCAGCAGGTTGTACAATGGTATCGGGAATGTCGGGTTTCAGCCAAATGTCAGCGAAACAGAAGACGCAGCAGTCTCTCAAGTCACGCTGAGTACAGATGCGACAGTGAAGGTCTTCGACCTTACTGTCCGGCGATTGCTGTGGAGTGGGGGAATTTTGTGCACAAAAAGTGATACATAACACGAAAATAAACAACATGAGAGCTACACACGAGATGTCGCCATTGAATGGCGCCATCTTTAAAAAATGGTTTTAAATCATCTAAATTGTGCTTATATGAGATGACTTTGCATTAAAACTCAATAATTAATTAATAAACAATATTGTTATTGCTGGGCAATTGTTGAAGCTGTAAGCACAAACCCCCAAAAGCTTTTAACCTCTACGGTTCAGCGGAAAATATCATTTTTGTAAAACATTTCTTCTATTAATCATTTTATTGACAAAAGCAAATATACGTTATCTCCCCTAAATTAAAATTTCTACTCAGCCCAGTACAGAGAGTGAAATGAGGAGCTGCAGGCTGGAAGACCACACACAGGATTCTCTTGTCTGTGATATTTCCATGGTACCTGGTGTCTCTGTCACACATGCAAATCTGGCAGACCTGTGTTTCCTATTTAAGCCCAGCAGGAGCTGCTGAGCTGTAGAAGCCCCAGGCGCTGCCCCTGTCACTGTGTGAAGAACAGACTGCGCTCTGCTGCTGGAATCATGACAGCTCCTCTGGCCCTGGGTCTCCTGCTCTCTCTGGCTACCTTGTCTTGTACGTTATACGAATGTAACTCTGCTTTCTTGGATCGTTTAACTGTAGAAATGTCTAAGAGAAAACATTTTCTGCATCTATTGAGGAGCTCAGAGTCATTTTTATTCCCTTGTTGTCTTGCAGGTGTCCAGTCCGATGTTGTGCTGACCCAGTCTGAGTCAGCGGTGGTCACACCCGGAGGGTCTCACAGATTGAAATGCACAGTTTCTGGGTTTAATGTTGCCAGCTATAGCATGTACTGGATTCGCCAGGCTCCTGGGAAAGGGCTGGAGTGGATAGTCTACTTTTACTCCAGTTCTGACAACAGCTACGCCCCGGCTGTACAAGGAAGATTCACGGCCTCGAAGGACAGCAGCAGTTTGTATCTGGACATGACCAGTCTGAGAGCTGAAGACACTGCAGTCTATTACTGTGCGAGAGACACTGTGCAGCAGGTGGCCTGTAGGGTGAGACAAAATCTAGCAGAACAGACAGAGTGTGGCTCAGTGCTCTGTGGTTTACATTTTCACTAGAAGAAAATAAACCTCTTAAATAGGTTGATTACATTCCACAAAGCTGACTCATCATTAGTTTGAGTCAGAAATGTATTGGTTTTATAAAGGGAGACAACATGGGCTGACACACAGGCATAAAAGTTTTACTGGAAATATATACATGATTTAGATCATATCTGTATTGAATCATTGATAAATTCAATAGTTGATTGAGAGACCACACAGGGACACATGGATATACGCTGAAGTTTGGTATGCTTTGCAGTTTTTTGTCATTCTTTGACAATTCTTTAACCCATAAAAGTGTTCAAATTTGATCAAAAACATTCACTTAAATTATGTGTAGCTCATTTGTAACTAAACAAACTAGAACATCATTGAGCCATCAATATGGCTCACCAGCCATATTGAAAAAATATTTCTTATTTTTGGGGTGTTTACAAGGCTTGTGCTCTTTTCATACCATCTCTTAGAAACCATAAATAAAAGCATCTTTGGAGACTGCTTGGTCCTTTGACACACACAGATGGACCTGTGATCTCCAATGTAAGAGTAATGTAAGAAAGAGGCTGTTACTGTGAGGCATGAATATATTCCATAGTTAAAATGATGATTTTGTACTCATTGTGAAGCTGTGTGCCTTTAGCCCCCAGTTGTTGAGATTTTTTTTGCACCAGTGCTCTGATCTCTGAGCCCCCACTCTTCTCTTGCATCAGTAATTGTCACCCACACCTGCATCTGATTATCATTCCTACTACTATTTAAACCACCTCTCCTGTCTACTCACTGCTCAGTCTTGAAGCTGGATTTGGTCTCAGAGTTCTCTCAGTTCTGCTTCAGTTGCTGCCTCTGGTTTTGACCCTCTCCTACTCTGGATTTTTGACTGGTGTTTGCCCCTTATTTTACTCCAGACTTAGACCTTGATTTTCTCACCGTTTTGACTCCTGGTGTTTGACTTCACTTCTGTTAAGTGTGCTTGTTTACCTTGGACTGTTACCCTTTTCTTCAGCAGCTTACTGATCCTGCCTTAGAATACCTTCATAATCCTCACACTGATAGGCAAGCACTCACACTGGGGAGAACACTCACTACATCCTGTCAAACTGAATGACATGCAACACTGAGGAGAACTTCCTTCTTCAAGAGCCTCCCAGCTGTCAGCTCAGCAGCCATATCGACAGAAACCCAGCAAAATCTATGAGTCGAGGAAGGGAGTGAGAAATCTGAAGGATGTTACAGGAATGTTTTTCAGCTTGAGTCTGTGTTGTTCTGATATAAGTCACAGGTGAGTTTATAATCCTATCTATCTGAGTGTATTCCTCATTCACATAACCACATAATAAGTATCCTTTATTACAGGAGTGTAAATCTGACCCCAAAAAACCTGAGATGTGAAGTCAATGAGTTTGAAGTGAGCATCTGTCAGATGGGTTGATTCAGACAGACTCCAGGAAGAAGAAGGTCTTTCTTTTACAACTCTGGACATCAGCATTACTTCTCAAAAATACAAGATTCATTGCTGTGAAAGACAGTACAAACTTCTACTTACAGACGCTGCTATGCATTGAGGAAGCACAGGATCTCACAAAGCTGATTTGATCCCTTCTACACATAAACTGCTCAAATGCCACATTGATCATTTTCAGCAGCTGCAGAAACACGTCCTGACTATCAGTGTTCAGTGTGCAAACAGCTCCTTCTAGTGGTAGCTCTAGAGTATCAAGTAGTCACAAAGCCATTCCTTCTTCAGTTCTTATCTGAAATAGGACTCAAAACATAACGATTTTGTATCATTGCAGGCAGTTTCTGTGCAGAACACTCAAGAACAGAGAAACACAACGGAATGATGGAAGAGATCTGCTGCTCAATGGCTGGAACATCACAGCACAGAGACTGGGTCCATCTGAGAACCTGGGAGGCTGACCACACTTCTCTGAGGCGGGATCCAGTTTATTACCACAGAGTGACCACAATACCTCTGAGACTGAGTCTAGTTCATCGCTGCAGACTGAACACACCATCTCAAAGACTAGGCCCAATTTAGAACCTGGATGACTGACCACAACACCTCAGTGGGTTCAGTCTGTCACTACAGGAGACTGACCACACTTTCAGGAATCAATCTTTGGTCTGCTGCAAATAAGGGGCTCACTGCTGGACACTGGAGTAATGTTCAGTGTTTACAGGTATGTTGGTTTTTTTGTGTGCAGGATTAAGTCAAGAGCAAGTTCATAAAATTCCACTGTCTTTGTGTGTAACATCTAACGACATTCCTTTTATCATACTTTTTATAATATTAGTTTTGCAGTTATATTGCCTTTTAATCATTACTTTAATCATTTTATCAATTTTACCTCTACATTAAAACTTTGTATTGATATAAAACTTAGCTGTCATTTTCCTTCCTCTGTTGGAAAAAATTGAAAAGCTTTTGTACTTTGTTAATAATAATAATAATAATAATAATAATAATAAACTTTATTTTATATAGCACCTTTAAAGGTGGCTTCTCAAAGCACTTTACAGGATGACAACAACATAAATAAGAAGAATACACAAGATAAAACACAATTACAATATACAGAGGAGACCGTGGATGGTGGTACTAAGAAGAGCAGAGGGGTGAAGAATGGAACCAGTTAAGTAAAGGCTTTTCTGAAGAAGAGGGTTTTGAGTCTGGATTTGAAGGAGTTTAGAGAAGGTGACTCTCTGATATCCTTGGGGAGAGAGTTCCAGAGCTTGGGGGCATTACAGGAGAAGGACCTGTCACCCATACAATGTAGATGGGATTGGGGGACAGTAAGGAGAGCAAAATTAGAAGAGCGAAGGTTACGGGGTGGGGAGTAGGGCGATAATAGTTCAGACAGGTACTGAGGTGCCAAGCCATGCCAAGCCATGCAGAGCCTTATAGGTGAGCATGAGGATTTTAAAGTCTACACGGAATTTGACCAGAAGCCAGTGCAAGGACTCCAGGATAGGAGTAATGTGAACACTTGCACTAGACCTGATCAGGATTCTGGCTGTAGCCCAGTGATATTTCTGAGGTGAAAAAAATGTTTTGACAGTATGCTGCACATGTGGGTCGAATGTTAAGCCAGAATCGAATATAACCCCAAGGTTTTTCAATTTTTAATGAAGCTCAAGTACAGAACCATCTACAGATAGGGTTTAGGACTGGCTTTCCGAAGTTGATGAGGTCTTGTTGCAGTTAAGATGGAGGAAGTTTTGAGTCATCCAAATGTTTATGTCAGAGATGCAATTAGATAGAACAGAGACAGCCACATCAGTGTCAGGTTTGGTATGGATGTATATTTGAGTATCGTCAGCATAAAAATGAAAGCTGAGGCCATGTGATCTTAAAAGCTGACCAAGTGGAAACATGTAAATGCCGAAGAGCAAGGGGCCCAGTATTGAGCCCTGAGGAACACCAGACTTAACTGTAAGAATTTTAAATTATGTTAAATCCTTACAGCAACTACTTTGTCAAAAGAAATTATATTTCTGAAGAGGTGTAGTTGCTTTGAAAACACGTAATCTCAATTGTACCTTTAAGCTTTTGCATGTGGGAACAAGAAATTTTTGTACAGCAGTAAACCACTGTGATAACTACGGTGGCACACTGATTTATATCATTACAGGAACCCCCTCTCTTTTGGCTAACGAGTAATTTATTGGGCTGACAGGTGATTTATTGGGTGATTGACATGAGATATCTGATATCTAATTTAACAAATTTAATTTGGCTTAAAAAGATAAATTGATGTACTGTATCACCATGACATATCAATTTACTTATCTGACTTTGAGAAATGTATTTGTGTTTGTATAGACGATCTCTTTGATTTCCCATTGATTTCTTCCAAATGCATAGAGTTTTTAGTGTTAGCTCTAAAGTTAGACCTACTAGTCTAGTACTAGTGATTCAGGACAGATCTGTTACAGTTCTTGGCTTTCAACACTGAGTAGCCACTGAGTAGCTGAGCTGCTGTGTAACCAGACAATAGTTCAGGTTTGGGGTGAATACTTAGTTGGACCTCTCCTATCCTAGAAATGTACACAGTAACTCATAAAACCTTTATATCACAAAATGGACAGAACTTCAAGGTATGCCCAGCACCATATTCTTGATTTTGTGACAGTTTTGCCAACAAATACGACTTGTTAAATCTGCAGGCATATCATGTTGGAAATGTTCTGAGGTGAAATATGTGCTGCACAACCTGTTCTTATTCGATCGCACATTGGAATTAGGTATTATAGTGACAAGTGTTACAAAGACTTTTTCAGGACACTTTGCAGACAGCAGAATCTGGAAGGGAGTGAAACAGACACGGGGAGGAGATGATGAAGAACTGAGGTTGTAGACATACAGGAGGGCGTGACGAGTGTGTACTGATGCTTGGGGGTGCGTGATCCAGGCGAACAAGTTCAAGGGGATCCATAGGGAAATCCAGGATGAAGTCCAAAAGTTCAGTACAGGGTGATCCATCCAAGACAAAACCGGACAAAGTTAAAAACCGTAATGGGATCTGGTGCAGGCAGAGGGAATAAAAATGGGGATGACAGGACCAAGAGCTCTGAGCCCCGGACTCAGCTGGGTCAGGACGCCTACAGGAGGCCTCTACCCTCAAGCTGTGGCGTAGGGTGACTTGGTGGTACGCGGGCCTCTGGGCATCTATCTTCCAATGCAGATCCCGGAACAGAGTGAGCGTCTGGCTTTTAAGGAGGAGCTGGATTGGAGGCAGGTGCACATAATTAACTAAAATGTAAAAGAGCCGGAGCACCCTTAAGAGGAGGGATTACAATTGTGACAACTAGTGAGCAGGAAGGGCCCCATCACATCACATGACAATTCATGGGAACTCTTGCTCTCGCCCTGTGGGGAGACCAGGGGTTTGCGACAACATTCATAATGTTTTGCTTAATATGAAATTGGTAGATTTCTTCGATGCACGATGTATTACAGATTTTAAAACTGTACGTGTTCAATAGTAAAGGTTTTGTGAAACTGGGTGCAGTTTTTTTTAATCATAGAAGAAAGAGAGGAGTTTATTTGCCATGTGTACATGTACATTGGGATTCTTAATCTTAATGCTCTCGGGGCGTGTACAGTATTAAAGACAACACCACAAATTCTGCACAGAATGTTACAAAACAATAAACAATTACAATCACGGTTGACCATCTGTTATGTCCCCAGTGTAGCTCAGTCTAGGGATGAATGGGGGCAAACATATGAGCCAGGGAGTAATGGACGGAAATAGACACAACTATGTTTAAGATGGCAGAAAAAACGCTAGAAAGTAAAATAAAAACACGGGGGTAAGTGAACAACAAAAAAAAAAACCCTCTAATTACACTATTCTACAACCCAATTACCTGCTAAACCTGTCTCCCGAGAACAGGGTGGCAAAGCCGGACCGCTCTCTTCAACCAATCCAGAGAGAGACCAAATTTTGGGACACACCCACCTCCAAAAATGGACCCCCACATGGGAGGGGAGTGAAAAAACCAGAATATAACACCATCATTCACAACATAGCAGAACATACAAATGGGGGAGCAGAACAATAAACGCACAGAACAATAGAAACATGGTAGCGAAGTAAAAAGTGCCGTGCAGAGGTGCCTTGATTTCTGATTAAGCAGTTACTGTAGCATTTTATGATGCGCACTGCTACAGGCTAGAAGCCATTGTTAAGCCTAGTGGCCCCTGCTTTAATAGTGTGGTATGCTTTCCAGAGCACAGCAATCTGGGGGCTACAGTGTTTAGGATCACTGTAGAGGAGATACTTGATTGTTACCACCTGTGGTCTGCCAATCAGGAAATCCAGTATCCAGTTGCAGATGGAGTTGCATAAGTCCAGATTTCTGAGATTTGAGCGGTAAGCAAACTGAAGTGGGTCAAGGAATCTGAAATACAGCAGTGTATATACACAAGGCTTTCCTAGCACTTCATTACCACAGAAGTGAGTGCCGCTTCGTGGTAATCATTCTAAGGCTTGAAGATGGCTTGGTCTTCTTGGGCAGTGGCACAATTGTGTTTTTTTTAGGCACTAGGGTACAACTTCATCCTTGCAGATGCCCCCCTGGTTCATTCCCTGCTAGCGAGTGGGATTGTGAAAGTATTGATCCCTGACCACCCCTGTCATTTCCTCAGCCAGGTGAGTTGACGCCAAAGTATGAAGTAAGCTATCTGTTTAGACATTGTTTTGCCATTGTCAGCTTGTTTTGCCATTATGAGAATTTGACCAAACTTCTGAATTAAGATGCAGGGTGTCCATGCTTGCCATTTACACATGGTTTCTCAGAAGGGTTTCAACCAGAAAGTGAAGACAGTGAAATGTGAAGACCTCAGTATCCACTGCACGCATACTGTTGTACTGTAATTCTGCACATCTTGAGTATATTCCCTTCAAGCTTGAACAACATTCTCCTGGCCAACTGCAGAACCTAGACACCTGCAGAACAAAGGAATGGATAATGGACATTCAGCTTAAAAGTGCATTTATTAGTGATCTTTACAATTACCTTATGTGTAACATGGAGTTTCTGCACTACTTTCCTCTTTTTTGTCAGGAACCTGATGTTGATGCGTCATTCAAAACATGAGTGCAAGAAATGTATTTTTTGATTGAAAAAAGCAAAATATAAGATGATCATGAATGGAATATTTTATGACTAAACTATTTAAATTTCTTGAGGAAATGCCATAAAAAGATTTTGCAGATTGTTACAATATCATGCTCTGTGTGGTCTGCAGCAGATCTTGAATGAGAGTGCATCACTGTGATAACTGGAATAGCACAGTGACATGATGTCATACAAAAACCTCTCCTCTCACTAACTGTGCAACACAATGTGCTTACAGCAGAGCCCAGTGGAGTGAGAGACCAGACATACACCCTGACACAACACATCCTCAGTGCTCACAAAGGAACTAACGCACTGGTGCTCCAGCATGGCTCCAATTGTCCACAATCAAATGCCAGAGAACGTCGTTTAAAGTGCTTGTACAATCCGAAGGACGTTCATTCCTCTACACTGGGTCTTTGTACCAGGTCAGTGCAGAATTGCACTGCAGTGACTTTGCTTACTGGGGACAAGGAACCCAAGTCACTGTCACATCAGGTAAGAGGAGAAACATGCTCAGCTGATGGAGTAGATGTCAGATTGATCCAAATAAGTATATTGCCTTGTGTGACTGATGAACAAATTGTATTTATATTGCTTCTGTGCCTACAGTCACTAACTGTAGACTGATTTCTTCAGATTTTTTTTAATGAACAAATAATTCTTACCATGACGACAAATAGAAACGAGCAGAAAGCCATTTGATTCACATTTCGTGGATCTCAGAATGTTACCGTGTCTGAACTAAAGCACATGTTGGCACAGGTAACACAAATTAATCTTCAAGCCTCTGGCGGCAGTTAAGCGGTTTGTGGCACACTGTATATCACTGTGACTAACTGGGACAGCACAGTGATATACTGTCATGCAAAAACCCCTTTCCCCAGTGTGTTTGGCACAGATGGACTTCAAAGTCCTGTCCTCATTCAACCTGAAGGACTGACATTTTAATTCAAGGTCGATATAGACCAGAGGGAATTTTAGGGAGTTTCCTCTGGTTATTTATTATAATTTGAGAGCTTAAAAAAATCACTCCCCCAAACTTCCAAAACATGTTCATATTGTCTTATTTTCTACTTGTGGTGCATTTGAATTCATTCTTGCAAGCTACACTGGAACCTGAGCAAGTCACACTGCATAAATAAATCAGCTGAATAAATCATAAATGTACTTTTCTGTAATTGTACAAACTGAAGCAGAAGTTGATCAGAAATAATTATATGACATCAATAATGAGCTCACAGTGAAGATCAGTGCAGTGTTTTTGAATTAGGACGAGATACATGGGGTGGGGAACACAGTGACTCACAGCAGGACTAAGACCTCTGCCCTTGGTCTGTTTAGCTGCAGGGAATGCTGCCTCATAGACACACGAGACAGTTCTGGATGATCATTGGCAAAGCAAGTAAATCAAGAAAGTCTTTATGCAAACTATGAAGGACAAAGAAAGTTTATGTTGCAACAAGAGTAAAACCACCCTTTATTTCTTCAGAATTGACTGTTGACTTATATACAGCATTATGTTATAGATATGTTACTAGAAGAAGACAAATTATTTAAGATGTGCATATAACATGGATGATCAGCTGCACTAAAATAAAAGTGGCATTCTGGACCGAACACTGATTGAAACGAGGAGCTGCAGGCTGGCAGATCACACACAGGATTCTCCGGTCTGGGGGCTTTCAACATTACCTGGTGCCTCTGTCTCACGGAACTGTGTTTCCTATTTAAACCCAGCAGGAGCTGCTGAGCTGTAGAAGCCCCAGGCGCTGCCCCTGTCACTGTGTGAAGAACAGACTGCGCTCTGCTGCTGGAATCATGACAGCTCCTCTGGCCCTGGGTCTCCTGCTCTCTCTGGCTGCCTTGACTTGTACGTTATATCGAGTGTAACTCTGCTTTATTGAACAACTGAACAGCAGTAGTACCTTAGAGTAAACACAGGCAATGACAATATTGCGAAAATAAGTAAGTAAGAATTAGATGTGTTGTCAGAAACACAAGCACAATTGTCCGATTTCTGTCGCTGGTTTTACCGTGTTAATATCCAGCTCACCTCCCGGAGTCTTCTCATCAGGAGTGTCTGTCTGTGGTGCCAACATGCTGGAACCATGTGTGTCCACTGCTCTTCCTTGGTCTGGCTGGATCTTGTCTTTGCTGCTCTCCTCTCTCCTTCATTATTGTCTCTTGCACTTCCCCACCCTGGATTGGATAACTGCATTCATTATGGAGTTAAGGATATCAGAGCAAGTGGGAGTGATGTGCTTTTGTGGTGAAGGTTTTTGTTAGGAAGTGTATCACTGGGAAGATCACCCAAAAAATAAGACCGTATGAGTCTTCAGTCAATACGTGGTCACAGTGATACAGTCCCATACAAAAACCCTAGCTAAATTCTAACATTTTTAAATTGAGGTGTAAAATGTGAATTTGTGGTTAATTTCTGAAGCATTTTCTGCTGTTTGACCAGCCCACCAGCCCACAACGTTCATGCATTTGAGTAGCTGTGCCATGTTTTCACACAGTCTGCACTGCTCTTGGGAAAAGGATGTCTTTACCTTTTACTGTGGTGTGACAGGATTTCACTGTGCTCGGCTCTGCTCTGCTTCTTGCCAAAAGATTCCATTCTAGATACTTATAGGATGAATAGCTCTAAATCTGCCAATTATGTCAATATGATGCACCTCCTCTTGATTGATGGCTAAACCTTATAACTGGCACTTCTGCTGTCTGGGTTCATTCATGCAAACCACCTTCAATATCCAGGGCACAGCAGAGAGGTAACAGAGTAGCAACAACTCCACTCACACCAGATCTGCACTCCTTGCACTGGACATCATTTAATTAGCTAGGGAAATGTAAGTGAATCTCATTACAAAACTATTTCTTTCTCCTACCAAATAAAATAAGAAAATGGGGCTGCAGGCTGCCAGATCACACTCTGGATTCTCACATCTGTAATGTTTCTACGTTACCTGGTGTCTCTGTCACACATGCAAATCTGGCAGAGCTGTGTTTCCTGTTTAAACTCAGCAGGAGCTGCTGAGCTGTAGAAGCCCCAGGCGCTGCCCCTGTCACTGTGTGAAGAACAGACTGCGTTCTGCTGCTGGAATCATGACAGCTCCTCTGGCCCTGGGTCTCCTCGGCCTCTCACTGGCTGCCTTGTCTTGTATGTAATTTCATTAGAGCAGCGGAGCTATATTTTAATTAGCATTACATTGTTTGGCTTGCTGTCAGCGGTGCACTGCATTTGGAAAAAGATAACATTCTTAGAATCAAGCAAGACCATACCAGTGAAAATGGAGATGTAAAATATTGAGTTTTGTTTCTGTTTCTCTGCTTGGGATTTTTTTTCCCAAGGAAATCACTCTTCTGCCTTTCTTTCAATTGTGAACTAAGCGATTACAGATTGTATTTATATTTCAGGATTTTCTGTGTTTTTTGTTTTCTGTGCCTACTACACCACTAAGAGTGACCCATTTCAACTTCCTTGCAGATGTTCAGTCCAGTGTCGAGCTGATGCAGTCTGAGTCTACAGAGGTCACACCAGGAGAGTCTCCCTGATTAAAATCTGCCACTGCTGGGATTTGTTTTGATGACCCTGACAGGTTTCTGGGAAAATCCTGGAGTGGACAGTTGGGATTTACTCCTTCTTCTGCTGTATCTGCACCTCAGCTGATAAAGGATAATTCACAGCCTTCGACAGACAGCAGCACGTTCCTTCTGGATATGAGCAGCCAGATGAAGACACTCATGTTTATTACTGTTGGAGAGACGCAGAGGAGCAAGTGATTTCCCACATGAGGACAACATCTAAAGAACAGGTGCAGGACGCCTTTGTGCTCCAGCAAAATCTACATGGAAAAACTGAAGCTTCTCGACAGCCTTCAAGAGTAACAAACAGGTAAACAACTTCTTTCAGTCCAACTATTTCAAATTTAGCAGTGCAGATAATTTGTTCACTTTTCAGTTTATAACACTTCTTAATTGAATATGGTTTCTTAATGGCATTTATATGTAAATGCTTTGTTGAGAAATGCCCTTACTTTGTCTCAATTGACAGGACAGGTACAGTCAGCCACACCTGTGTAGACAGGGATAGAGAACTTTGACACTTCTATTCCACTCCATTACTGAAGCTTCCAGTGCACTCGTTATGGAATTGATCCTTGACTGCTCGATTAGGATTAGCTGAAGAAAAGATTTCAAAAGAAATGAAAGAACTATGAAACCTATATGACACCTAATTAATACAAAATCAATCACATTAAATGCAGACATTTTAATTCTTAGGTGAAAAATAATGTCCAGGCATCTACAAAAATGTGACAATGACTTATCAGGAGTTACTTACATCAACCACAGTGATAGAGTTGTACTCTGGTACCGAATGTGTGTGTTTCTGATGGACTAACAAGTGCGCAGGAGGTTATTGTTAAGCAGAGTAGCCCCGTGATCACTATGGTGATTATATGCCACAGTGAAACAGCTCAGTACAAAACTTTCTTCCAATTAATTCACAGCACAAAGGAAATATATGTTAGCTTAACGGATTTTGTTTTATGACTATTATGGGTAAGTGTGGGTAAGTAAATCTCACAAAGCTGCACTGTGAGATTCCTAGTACAGTAGACCTGCTACACGCTGGTTTCTTGTAGAGATACAGTTAGCTGTTAACGTGCACCTTTCTCACAGTAAATATAGAAAACACAGGTGATCCTTGAATTTTTCCTTGAGTTTTGAGTTTGGAAACACTTTATTCCAGGAGTCCCCAGTGTGTTGTGTGTTAGTTCTTCAGGACACACTAGCTCTTCAGAAGTGTCGGACAGCCGGCATATAGTGGTAGACTAGTAACACCTGTTCTACACATTTTTCTAGAGTGCCAGGTGAAAGACTTGAATTCAAGATTTTATTATTCTAAGCATGATGATGATTAATTTTAATTGCATTAATTTAGATTTAGATTTAACAGTTACATGAGGATCTTTCACCGGTCTGTCTGTGTACAGCAGGTTTTTGTTAGGTAGTTTATCACTGTGATTACTATAGCAGTGGTTGGAGCCACAGTGAAACAGACCCACACAAAAACCTCCCTTATCATCTGCTGAAACTGTATCTACTGTACAGCCGAAGAGTTAGAACAGGAAAACCCATAAGAAACCAATTGGAGTTCACGCTGTGGAAGGAGAATCTATATGCTCCCAGCTGAGTGATTTTTTTTTATAAAGAGCTTGCTGATTCAATATTAAACACTTAGGAGAATGAGCAAATTGTGTTGTGCTGTTAGAAAAACAATTCTCAGATTCTCAGATTTCTCATCAGGAGTCTTTATCTGTGGTGCCAACATGCTGGAACCATGTGTGTCCACTGCTCTGCCTTGGTCTGGCTGGGTCTTGTCTTTGCTCCTCTCCTCTCTCCTTCATTATTGTCTCTTGCATTTCCCCACCCTGGGCTGCGTTTTACTGTGATCATGTTCCTAAGCGATGACTGTGTTCTTGATCTGTTTGAGGAAATACCATGGCATGTTTAGTGGACGGCACCATCGTGTAGAAGGTTTTTGTTAGGACATGTATCACTGGGAAGCTCACAACCAATCTACAGTATACCTTTGGAGTTGTGACTGGTTACAGCAGCCACAGTGATACAGCCCAGTACAAAAACCCTCCTGACACTATATCTCCCAGTGTAAAACATTTAGTCTTTGAAATCTCAGAAATATGAGAGATAAGCATGTCTAAGGCTTTGTCCTTTTGAAGATCTTGGGTGAGTGTTTCCTCAAAGGTTTTTGTCAGGTATACCGCTGTGAGAGAGTAGTACAACATACAGCCACTAGGGTAGTACTGTTCTGTACACCCACAGTTCTGTACACCCACACCCATACAGGAACACTGTATGTTCCAACAATGAAACATTTTAATGTGTATACTGTTAATAGGTAATATATAAATGGGTGAGTTAAGCAAGTCAATGAATGTGGAAGATTATAAAGCTCTCGGATGAGCTTTTGCTCAGGAGGTGTGTGTCAGGCAGCGCATCACCGTGACAATGATAGTTCTGCCTGGGTTCGAAGTGACACAGTCTGATCAAATCAAAAACACATTAATATGTAATATTAAACATAAAAGAAATTATACATGTAAATGAACATTTTAAAAAAAGGGGTAAAATGCGAGCAAGTATACAGCTTTGTGATTTTAAAGATCTTGGACGAGTGTTTCCTCAGGAGGTTTTTGTCAGGCAGTGTATCACTGTGAGAGGGTACTACAACGTTTACATTTGATGAAGGTTTTTTCAGTACCACCAGCATCCACAGTGATATAGTCCAGTACAAAAACGCCCAAGACACTGAACTTACCATCACTGAACAACTCTGGGCCTTTACAGTGAATGTGTATTGGGATGTGTTGCTACAAGTTTGCCAGTTATATCAACATGGTGCATCTTCTCTTGCTGCTACATCTTAGAACTGGCATTTCTGTTGTCTGGGTTCATTCATAAACCCACACGCAATATCCAGGGCACAGCAGAGGGGCACCAGAGAAGAGACAAAAATCTGTCCATCTGACACTTATTAGTTCTGCACTCCCTGTACTGGATGTCACTTAATTAGTCAGGGAAAAATAAGTGAATCGCACCCCAACGGGAGTCCTTTCTCCTACTAAGTATAAGAAGAAAGAGGAGCTGCAGGCTGATCACACACTCTATGCTCATGTATGTAATGATTCTACATTACCTGGTGTCTCTGTCACACATGCAAATCTAGCAGAGCTGTGTTTCCTATTTAAACTCAGCAGGAGCTGCTGAGCTGCAGAAGCCCCAGGCGCTGCCCCAGTCACTGTGTGAAGAACAGACTGCGCTCTGCTGCTGGAATCATGACAGCTCCTCTGGCCCTGGGTCTCCTCCTCCTCTCACTGGAGGCTGCCTTTTCTTGTACGTTCCTTCGTTGGAGTAGGGCAGCTATATTTTGATGAGCATTAGCTTGTTTCTCTTGCTCTCAGTGGTGCGCTACATTTGGGAAATTGAAGATCACCATTTTAGAAACAAGCCAGAAAAACGGCGACGAAAATGGAGATGTAAAATGCCGGGTTATGTTTCTGGTTTTCCATTTGGGCGTTGTTTTTCCCAGGGCAACACTTTTTCAATTGGTAACTCGTGGACC